CCCTGCGGCCCTTGCAGGGGGAGGTGAGCCGGCTGCGGCTGCAGAACCGGAGCCTGGAGGAGCAAATCGTCCTCGTCAAGCAGAAGCGGGATGAAGAGGTCGGGCAGTACCGGGTACGTGCCCCAGCTGGGCACCCCTCACACCCTCATTTAGAGAGCGGGAGTCATTCTTTGCAGCTGGTGAAATGTGGATGCTGAAGGTCTTGCTCGTAGGGCCAAGGGGAGGAGGGTAAGGAGGTGGAATATCTCCTGCCGGTTGAAGCCAAAAGCGTCCCTTGCCGTGGCTCAGACCAGGCGAAGCAGCAGCCCCTGGGTATAGGGAAGCGTGAGGTTGCAGGGACGTGGTGGGCAAGTGCTGGGGCTTCACCCGATGAGCTGCTGGAAAAATGTTCTCCCTTGGTTTTGACCTGCCACTCGGCAATGGCCCCAGCGAGCAGAGGCGAGGCAGAGAGGACTGGGGGTTTCCTTCCGAGAGCGGGCCGGTGGCTGAGCAATGCTGCTGAGCACAGGCACCGCACATTTCCCGCAGCTTGTACCACCACGGGGGCTGAGCTAAGGTGCTTGGAAAAGTCAGTTTTAAATAAAAGTGGCTTTTCTGTAAAAGCCCAGCCCTGCCGGGGCAGATCCTGCCCTTCCCACTGCCAGGAAGGGTCTCACCCTCCTGCACCCAGGGCCCCGGCTGCCTCCTGAGAGGGTTATTTCTGGCTGCACCAGGCATCCACCCCCCCAGCACCTTGCCCTGAGGGACAAGGCAATTCAATATCTGCAAGAGTACATTTGGCAAAGAGGCTCCACAATTAATCTCCCCCATTTCAACACTCCCTGTTCTCGGCTCGTAATCGCTGCCTCCTCCCAGCCTGGCTCTGAGCAGCTTCTGGAAGCTGGCATTCCCCCTCCGTTGCTTCTCCGCCCTGCTGAGCTGGGGACCAGGTCACCAGCGCCCGTGACACTGCTCGTCTTGGATTTCAGGGTCCGCTCTCCCTTGGAGGACAGGGCTTTGGGGCATCCCTGATGTGCCTCCACATTTTCTTTTTCTTAAATTCCTTGTTTATATTCCCCTGACTCATAGGTTTATACAGTTCTGACAGCTTCTCAAAACACACACAAAACAGTTTAGGGGACAAAACCAACGAGCCAAGAGATGCTTAAGGACCCAACACATCACATCCCAGCCCGACCTTCCACCTTTGTAATAAAACAACGCTTTTTTGCAGAGCTTTTATAAGACAGTGGTTGGCCAGCCGTCAGCCTGGCTGCGCTTTGTCCAGACCAACGCCATTGACAGGCAGATCCCGCCACGAGAGCGTGGGCAGCAGCTGAGCGTGGGCACTGAGACAGCCTTCCTCCCCCAGCTAATCCACTCTTGTCTTCTTACTCCCCAGGAACAGGTTGAGGAGCTGGAAGACAGGCTGAAGGAGCTGAAGAACGGGGTCCAGCTCCAGCAGCGCAAGAATCAGGAACTGGAGGAGCTGAGGACCAGCCTTCACCGGGAGCTCTCCATCTACAAGTTCGTTTGTGTCTCATCCCTGTGGCGGGGAGGGGCTGGGAGGAGGAGGATGGTGGAGAAGAGGGGCTGGTGGCCACAGCTGTGGGACACCAGGGGCTTTTGCTCCTGGTCCCTGGACATGTGGCCGGTGTGTGAGCAAGGGGTCTGATGGGGCAGCACAGTGGGAATTCCAGACCTTTTGCCATCCAGCAAATCAGGATTTGGTGGAAATTCCTGTACATGAGGAGTAGAGGTTGCTTTCCAAGAAGCAGGCCTGGCAACTTAAAAAAAAATACCCTTTTTCTTAGGAATATGTAGAAAGGAGCTGACGTTTAGGTTTGGGAAACGGACCTCAACGAGAGAGAACTATCTTCTGCTTATCGCTCTCTACTGCTGGTTTCACTCAGGTCTTCTTTATTACACAGGATTTTTTAAAGCTCCAGAAAATGTCCATAAGTATTTTACTCACCAAACTTTGTGTTGTTATGTGCTACTCCAATCTCAGCTGTACACGCTCTTAACCATTTTCTGTAGCTTCACTGTTACCCTAGTATTCTTTTTTCCCCTTCTCCACTCAAACCTCCTCCTACAAGCACACCACAGGAGGATATTCCCTACCACGAATAGGTACAGTTTTCTTTTATCCAGGTAAGACTTTAGCACCATAAGCGCAGGGGAAGAGATCTCCATTTCAGCCAGTCGTGTCACCAGCCATTCCAAGATGTATTAACGAGAGGAACCACATCTACGATTCAAACCATTCAATCTACAATCCCAACAACCCCATGTCTTTGCTGCTTGCGGTCCTAAATCACAGAGCGATATTTAAGCCTGGGTGCAGCAGCGCAGTCTCTTAACTCCTGGCAATCTACAAATTGCCATCCCTGGAAGCGATAGCGTGCACAGCTTCTCGTATGTCAGGACACCTCATTAAGTTTCACGTTTGCGCCGGGGACCTCAGAGTTAAGTACGGCTCTGAGCTGCCATCTCCCGTAGCTCACACCAAAAATTACATTCCCTTCTGTTAGGGCTAGTTTGTTTGCCAAGGGCTCTGGAAGGGCTGGGCTAGGCCCGCACGCTCACAAGACCACGCACCGAGCCAGTTTAAGTGTTTCCTCGTTACTTTTCTTCCATATGTAAAAAGAATGTTTTTCAGAAATAGCATCTGTCCCCCTTCCCTGTTTTCTCCAGCCAGAGTACTTTACGTAAATTCAGTAGCCTAAATTTACTTTCTACCCATACAGGAGCTGCTTAGAAATCTACGGCCACCTTTGCAAATCAGAAGAAAAAGCAGACCAAGACTGTTAGGAACAACGGACTCTTCCTCTTTGTAGCAAAAGCAATGGACAGAGGCCTCTGCAGGGGACATCTCCTCTTGCTGCTTATCCTACCTGATGCACAGCAGCTTCCTGAAGTCAGGAATACCAGACAATCATTTGCTTGTGTGTATTTCTCAAGATGCTGCTGTTAATCACGTAGTAAACCTGCTTTTCCACAGAGGAGCAGAGAAAATTAATACTTGCACTGAACAACAGACATATATGAAGAATAACAGATGTATCTTTTGCTGTGTTTGGAAAAATGTATCGTCTTGTTCCATAGGTGGATTGTATAAGCCTGTGCAGAAAGTATTGTTCTGGAAGCCAGTGTTAGGGGGTTTGATTTTTAAAGTTTACATGCAAGAGAAGCTTTATCCTTTTAACAGGATTTTCTTTTGTATTGCTGTATTGTGACATGCTCCACCGTGGGCCACCAAAACCAGTTTGTGGATAACAGGTTTCCACTTTACATAAAGTCTCACACTGAAAATAAAGGTCAGAGTTTAAGGATCCTTTTAATTCTCAAAGCCGCGTCTCAAAGAGAAAACAGCAAGCTTGTGTGTCAAGCCAAGGTACTTGTAAAGCATCCAACTATTCATGCTGCAGACTAACAAAAAAAAAAAAAAAAGTAGTTCTGTGGCAAGCACTAAAGGCAGACCCAAAATCCAGACAGCAGCACACTTCAGGCGGAAGGCACACTTCAGTGCATTCCTGACTGCTTGGGGATATTACGCACTCATTTACTCATTTCACAAAGAAAGCAGCAGAAACAAGAGGGGGAGAAGCATCCACGTGTTACAAACGTATGGAATATCTGTATCAGCACCTAGTCCCATGGGACACATATGGGTAGAGACTATGCCCTTGCTTCCTCTGCTTTCTGAAGAGGTACACTTTACTCTCGACAAAGTAGTTAATGCAGAAGGAAAACATCAACACAAAAAACCAACCCAAAGCTAGACAGCGTTTACGTAGAAAAAATTTATTCCATCTGAAGCACTTACACGCAATTAGTCATGAGGAGCATGGAGAGTAATAGGTTGCTGGTGGAACAGGACACCCTAGTGGAAGATGTGCAGGAACTAGTGGTCAAGGACTAACTCCTAAAAAAAGTCGTTCATCCACATTTAATTTGCTTTACAGATACCAGCTACCAATGCTGTTTTAGGTTACCGGGCATGCCATCTGTGGTACATCAGTTGGTAAAAACATACACCTTTACAACTTGGTGGCCCCCAAGTTTTAAAAACCATTTCACAGAAAGGAAAGAAATATATGTGAAAACACAGCTCAAGAAACACACAATAGAGCAAAATACATGGAAGGTGAACAATGCTCTGCAGGAATAGCTAACAAATCCAAACCGCTGTCGCCCAGCAGACGGGAGAAAGGGGAAAGGAAGGAAGGAAGGAATGAAAAACCCAGAATTACCAGTAGAGACAAACAAAATACAGAAAGAAGTTCACTTTCAGTTCAAGTCAGAATCTGCAAATCTGTTCTGTATCTGCAGAGGCAGAAAAATTCACAAGGTACAGATTAACTAAAGGAATCCCAAGGCTTCCGACTCGTACTGAAGAGGACAAGACCTTCCACACTCCATTTCTGAACTGCCAGTGGATTAACACTTGCATCACCTCCATTGGCTCAAGCACACTCTGGCAGCTCTACCGATTTAACTTTTGTTTAAATTAGGCAAAAGCCCACAGCTGTAGCAAAGCTAAAGACAGAAGAAGAAAAAACCAACAAAACCAAGTTTGCTCTGTGTGATGAAGGCAGCTAAACCGGGCCAACCAGCCCTATACGCAAGAGGCTGCTGTAGGAAAGCTGACCAAGGAGCTACAGCATGGCACCAGTTGAGTTGGGCTAAGCCCTTTTCGTAGGAAGTACTCACTGTCTGGGTTAAAAAGCCTGTTGATGGTATCTACAGAAGGATGGCTGAACACAAAGCCTACGTGTGTCTCAAAACCAGTGTTAAGTCAATACCAGGGTTGAGAGGGAAGAGAAGGAAAAAGACTAAAAACAGGAAAAGGTTGTCATCTAGGATCCTTGACCTTCCGGATCCACGCTTCCTTCAGGGTCTTCATCATTATATATGTTCTCTGCCTGCAAGACAGAGATGGAGGAACTGCAGAAGCATTTTGCCACCACACGGAACAGTATTCCATCTACTAGAACATTTTGAAAAGTTCTGGCAGTTTTTCATCTGCAGATATGTATTGCCCATCCCTGATCCCTCAAGGCCATTTAACATTAAAGCAGCAGCAAACCCAACCTTCTTCATAACAGCCATGTCTCCAAAACATTTCATAAGTACCCTCTAAGTTCCTCTAGCTTACGGAAATCTGCCTTCTTAAAGTAGAAGTAAGCCTTGCAGTGGTCTCAATTAACAGACTACTGCGTATACATTTAGTAGATCCTCTACTTAGCAGCAGCACCTTCCAAAAGAACTATCTGGAAGGCTGCTAAGAACAAAGCCCCTGTGAACCAATTTACAGATTAAAAAAAAAGCAAACCCATTAGGAGTATGGTCTTGTCAAAGGTTATTCAAACAATACAAGACTCTTTTCAAAAACCTTCAATGGCTGGTAATTTAGGGTCAGCAAACTTTTCCTATTCACCACCACTCCTCTCCATCTTCAGGAGGACATTTGTATCATTTGCAAAGATTTCATTCTTTAAGACAATAACTAACAGAAACCTCAATTTCATCTTCGGTTCTCACACACACTGTTTTCATTCAAACATAGAAGTGAAAAATTTGCTTCTACACCAGTACTCTGGTTTTTTTAAGCCATGAGAAACACAAACCAGCTTCTGAGTATTTGTAAACCATTGTTCTGACCCAACCTAAAGTGGATTTCACTATCCCTTTGAGATTTAGGCAGTGCTACAAAGCAAGGCATGCTGAGAGCTGTAAATAAAACCAGGAACACTGAAATCCAGGCAGTTCAACACCATCTCTCATCTGCCACTTCCTGCACCTTCCCAAGCAACTTACCATTTGCCAGACTTGCATGATATTATCTTCTGATACAGAACAAATTACCCAGGGCTCATTGGGATTCCAGGAGAAATCAGATATCTTTGCAGTATGACCACCATGAATAAACTAGTATTGGGGAAACAAAAAGGGGAATGTTTTCAAATCTACATCGCAGAGATGAATAATAGGTCAAAACAATCAATAAGATTCAAAAGACTTACCAACAGCTCTGGGGGACCATCCTCAGCATCTTCAGGGGATTGCTCTTCTCCAATTTTACTGTTAAAAAAAAAAAAAAAAGGGAGAAAAAATGAAAAGGTGGAGGCTTTGTGTGTTTGTTTTTTGAAGTGTGATGCAATTCATCAATAATATTTTGTCAGGACAGAGCGACTAATTTGGGATTTACCTCAAGTCCCAAACATTTAGCCTGCGGTCAGTGCCACTGGACGCCAATATAGTTTCATTATGGGGAGACCACTGAACCTACAGACAAGGATGAATTTAGAAAGGAAGTTAGTTTTAAGAAGCTGTAACATGACAGACATTCACAACAAACACCACTGTATTTAGTATAATGAAAACTCTATGAGAATTCAAATTGATATTAACTTGAAATATGAATATGCCCAATAATAACATTCTAACACAGGAGGCAGGTTTGTGAACATTCATACACTAACAAGGCATTTGAGCACCAAAAAGGTACCACACGTAACCTTTCCTGTAACAAAGACCACGTGTTATGAAGTGCAAACAGCTCTCAAAGATATTAGCTGCTCCTTACCTTAATAAGGATTGCACAAATATAAACTACGGATTCCTTAAGTAGTAGGTACGCTTACACATGAAAAGAAATCACTGTAATTAAGCTGCGCAAAAGCTCACATTTACTACTTCTTCTGGAGATAAATCTCTCCAAAACATACCACTTAATAGGATCACAGGATTAGAAAAGAACACATAATTCTGCACACTAACCTGACATTTCAAGATTCCATGTGTAATTTTAGAGGTAACTACAGTCTTAACTAGTAATCCTTCTACGAAAAAATCTATATATTTTTCTTCTGAGTAAGTCATGAGTTGGAGATGGAAATTTGTATCTGCTAAGTGCATGCTACCAGTGATGTTAACATTTTGTCTTTACAGCAGCAAAATTAGCAATTGTTCGTTGTCACAGGATGTTCCAGTGATCCCCTTTGATGGGTACTGGCTAAAGCCTTCCTACAGGACCAGGCTGAGATGAAAACACTGTAGCCATTTCATTGTGCCTCCCTGCTTCAATCTGCTGCCATGAATAATTCACATTTACTCCGTACTGCTAGCATTTCACCCTTCTGTTGCAGTTAAAGCTCTCGACCATTTCCTTGTTACGTTCTGCCCCTGGCATTCTGGACACTCTTATCTGTACTGCAGCTCTACCCCACACAGAGCACTACAAAGTTCCACAACAATAAGCCAGAGAATTATAAGCAGATGAGAGAAAAGAATATATGAGTTTTTAAGTGCAAGTACATTTAATAAAAACGTAGAGCGGAAAAGAATGTTGTTCATGTTTTCCAGACAGCTAAGTAGAACTAAGTCTGTGTACATAAAAGATAAAGACATTTTGTTATACCTGAAATATTTCATCTTTATGTGATTCAAAGGAGTGCAACTTCAGTTTTAGGTTCCTCAAGTCCCATAGAGCAACAGTCTAGGAAAAAAAACATAAACTTTTTTTTTGTTGAAGTAACGAATATATACATCCACATTTACATATCGGAAACTAAACAAGTATGTTCCAAGTTCAAGGTAGATGTACCTTATCAGCTGATCCTGTAGCCAGGATAAACTCACTATAGGGATTGAAAGAGAGGCAGTTGACTTCAGCGGTGTGAGCATCCACTGAATGACTAGGTTTGGAGGTGTTGTTTGACCGAGTGTCCCAGCTGTAAGGGGAAAACGTGGAATTGAAACAAAGGTTTATATCCCATTTTACTGAGCGACTAAGGAGCACATGGGAA